TCTAAAATAAATAGCCTTAGTTGGGAACTTTTGGCGCATTCCCCATACAGTCCGGACCTCGCCCCTTCTGATTACTATTTATTCCGGACCATGAGTAATGAGCTTTCGGGAGAATACCTCGATCCGGAAGGTCAAAAATTGGCTTTGAAAGTTTTTCGATTCAAAACCAAAATCCTACTACGAAAGAGGAATCCGCAAATTGCCTGTAAAATGAGCAGAAGTCGTCAATAATAATGGAAATTATTTGGAATGAATTCATGGTTTTATGTTTAATAAATTTTAGTTCAAATTCCGGCAGTTTCACCAACCCAATAGAAAAAGGAAAAATTTTCAAACCAGAAAGATCAAATCCAAAAACAGAAGTGGACATGCACAAGCAAACAATCGAAATCACTTACCCACCAACAAGAAAATGGTGGACCCAAAATTCCTCGCGAGCTTAGTGTTTTTGCGGGTGGGAAGAGTGGAATAGAAAAAGGAAAGAAAAAAGAGAAAGAGACCAAAACAATGGCTTTTCTCGAATAGCTTTCGGTTGTCAAAAAAGTGGGAATTTTTCCCCTACAAGCGGAAGACTGTTCGAGGGAAAAGAGAAGAAAAGAGAAGAAAAGAGAAGCAATCCGATCAGCCACCGAACAACCATGTGCCCATTCATTTGGACCATCGCCGAAAAAAAGGGCCTTTTAGGGGCTTTTGGGGAAACGGGCTTTTTTAGTTTTGAGAAAACTGGGGTATGACCAATCAAGAGGATTGGCTTCTAAACATTAGTACTTTTGGTGAAACTTATTGCTAGTCCAACATATCGAGATCTTATGAGCTACTTTTCTTCAATCACCAAAGGAGTTAGTGATTGTAACTAACATACATACAATTCATTCACAACTTTTTAGACTTTGTAAACACAAAACTAGACCAAATCAAACAGCTTAAACACTTTGAAACTTAAAAAACCTTAGAATTTGCTTAGAATGTGCTTAGAAAAAACCTTAGAATGTCAGGACGCCAACAGTTCTGTGCTTTCAAAAAAAACTCTAAGCAACTAGGTGTCAAGGGTTGACGAGGCAAATCAAGATCCCTGGTAAGTCACCTCAAAAACAATAGAGAAGAAAACTGGATAGATTTTCCCAGTGCGATCGAATAGAAACGAGAAGACCCTCGGGTTCTACTCGAAAAACGTGAAAAAAAACACGGGGAAAGCAGAGGGTGGAAGCGGTGAGGATTGAAGAAGAAGAAGAAGAAGAAGAAGAAGAAGAAGAAGAAGAAGAAGAAGAAGGAAGGCAAGAAGAAGAAGGAGGAGGACAAGAAGACCGGCAACCGACACCCAGTCAACCCATCCGACACAAACAATGCGGATGGATGAGAAAAAGAAGTGGATTGAGAAAGGGAAACGATGAAGAGGTTGGGGAATCGGTAGAAGAATCGCTCGGGAATTAATCCTCAACCACACGTCTTTGCTCTGTCTCTGTTTCCATCATTTCCACCAATTTGACGTCATCTTTTTTGGGGATCACTTCTTGAGAAGCTGGGTTCACGTGGAGGTCATGAAATGTGTGAATTTAAGCTTAAAGAATAGTCTGAAAAAAATTGAATCTTTAAAGAATATTCTCTTCAAAGATAGCAAAAAAGAAAACTGAGAGTTCAAGAATAATCATGAAAGATTATAAAATGAATTGTGAAATTTGGTTCTTGAGTTATCGTTGTGTAAATTATATTCTTGAGTATCGTTGTGTAAATCTAAGCAATAAAAGCAATCAAATAGAAATCTCACCAAAATAGAAGTTTTATCTGTTTGAAGATTACCGATTTGATCTAATAGTGAGAGTTGGGCTAATTCCCATGTTCACAATCATGAGTAACCAAATCCTCACGAAAGTTTGAAGCTTTCTACTCAACACCAAACTTGTCACCTTCTGCGTGACGATGCTAAAAGCTCCTCTTTCTAAAAACTTCTTCTATCCAACCTAAGTACCCAGTCATTCATTTAGAGAAGTTTCGGTAAACAAATTTGAAGCGGAGAAAAAAAAACGGCTGCAAAAGGAAAATTGAAGTAACAAAACCTTTTTAAATTTAAAAAATAGGAAGGAATTTTGCCCAAATGTAATAATTCTTTATTTAGTTGCATTCCTGATCAGAAAAATGTTTTCATGACACACAAAATTGTCACAGTTCGAATGAAAATAGACAAAATTTGAATCAGAAAGAATGAATGAAATACAACAAGTGACATATTTGTTAAATGTTGAAAATTTAGGCTTTTATTTTAAACGAATAGTTATTTATTTTAAAGTTAGTGAGAGAGAGATTTTAAAGTTAGACTTAGCTAATCTTTCGAAAATTTCCCACAACAAAAGCTCGGTTTGATTCTCGGGAAAAAAAAAGTGAAAAAGTGATGGCAATTTAGAAAGTTTTCTCCTTGAAGAGAAGAACCAAAAGACAAAAGTTTTGTCGCTTTTTTTTAAAGAAAAGAGAAAGGATTTCCAGCAGCGATTCGTTTTTTTTTTCTTTTCTCCACACCCTTCTTATGCTAATTTTTTTTCTAAAAGCTTTTACAATGGCATACAAATTTTCAATTGAATATTTATGCTAAAGATTTCAATTGTTGTTTTTTTAAAAGAGATTGTAAAATAAAAAAAAACTGGATCTAGTTTTTTGTGTGATAAATGATTTTGAAGCGATTCGACAGACCACACTAGAGTCTTTTTCTTGCAAGTAATTTTTTAGGACGCACACTTGGCAAAAACTGCCGTACTTTTGGAGGAAATTAGCGCGAAAAAATCACGAGCGCTGACTTATATAAGTTTTTTTAAAACGCACACTTATATAGATACTTTAGGAACTGAGATAAACTGAGTGCGCTAGATTTAAGACTAAAAAACATGGATTCATACGCATAGCACGAAAAGGGCCAATAAAAAGCAACACGATATAATATATGGATAGCATAGATAATGTCAAGGATCCACTAGAGCTTCAAGATCATCTACAGATCATCTATGGAATATATGGGTAGCACAGATAGCACAGATAACGTCAAGGATCAACTAGAGCCTCAAGTTCAGGAACATCTACGGATAATGTATGTAATATATGGGTAGCACAGATAACGTCAAGGATCCACTAGAGCTTCAAGATCAGGAACATCTACGGATAATGTATGTAATATATGGGTAGCACAGATAACGTCAAGGATCCACTAGAGCTTCAAGTTCAGGAACATCTACGGATAATGTATGTAATATATGGGTAGCACAGATAACGTCAAGGATCCACTAGAGCTTCAAGATCAAGATCATCTTGGCACACTTGGCACACTTGGCAAAAATTGCTGTACTTTTGGCGAAAATTGGCGCGAAAAAATCACGAGCGCTGACTTATATACGTTTTCTTTTAAAGATATTCAATTGTTTAAATGATTTGGTGGCAAAAGTCACTTCAAATGCCAAAGATATTCAATTTTACTCGGCGTGTAAAGAGGATTACTCGTAGTTACCGATTACTCGGCGAAAAACGTCGATTAATCGAGTAAAGATTACTCGAGTAATTATTTACTCGGAAGGAACACACTCTAGACCACACCCTGATGGACCACACTCTCTGCTCAAACGAGCAGACAAATACTATTCACAAGGAGTTTTTAATTGTAAAGTTTGAAATAGATAATTCTTAGTCAAAATTAAATTCTGAACAGTTTTTAATAAAAAACCAAAAGACTACTAAAGTAAAAATAGGTTGGAATTGCTTTTGGTTTCTTTTGCAATCCGATCCCTATGGAGAAGGCTTCGTTAGTCGAGTGGTTATTGCAATTATTGGCAAGAGGAAAAAAAGGCAATAATATAGTAAAAAAATGTTTACGAAGTGTAAATTTAAATAAAAGCGAATTTAGATGTTTTCTATAACATGAATTATCTTCAAAAGCTGCTGTTACTTTAGTTAGGAAAGCTCTATTGTAATTCTTATTGTAAACTTGAGATGTGTTACAGGAAATCAAAACAATTTAGCTCAGTAGCTCGAAAATCTACGATTTGCACTTTCTTGGCTATTATGAATGGTAAACATGACCCTTTTGCTCACATCCATTTTCACTCTTTTGTGTGGCTTTGATTGTGAAGAGAAAGGTGGATCGGATGACCGTCAAAGATGGGAATCTCTCACCCATAACTCGGTTCTGCTTGAATGCAAAGGTGAGAATGGATATCGATGACAATGAGATGAACCCATTCACAGCCAATAAACTCATGACTTTCGGTTTTCTAAGTTTTAACAACACGAAGCCATGATTGTGGAAGATTTGATACGCGCCCTGTCCTTTTTGCCTAACTTTGAACTCAAATATCTTGGTGTTGGGCTGTCCAATTGAAATAGTTTTTATACAAATCGACAGAGAAAGATTTGGCGCATCTAATGATACCAAGAATTTTTCAATTGAACAGCCCATTCCCAAGAAATTTCAGCTCAAATTTAGATTGCTAATGGGAAAAGGGGCGCGCACATCGGCGCACACTAAAATTTTCTCATTTCTTTTTTAAAAAATGTTATAACTTTTTGTAGAGTTGAGTAAATTTGATGATTTTTGCATCAAAATGTTCGTAAGAGTCTCTAGAATAAAACTTATCCCTTCGTTTTTGGTCTTAGAACCTCGTTGTCGAGTTACGAGCCCCAAACTGCAGGGTACCACAAAATTTCCCATACAAAATAACCAAAAAAACCGCTAAAACTAAATTTAAAAAATTTCTGTCAGAGGGATTTGAAAAATTCCTTCAGATTCGGAATCAGCACAATTTTCCGCATCTAAAAAAGGTACTCCCAGAAAAATGCGATAGAAAACGCATTTTTGCCTTATTTCGCGCCGATGTGGCGCGTATCAAATATCCGATAATCCAAAGCGATAGTTTGAATTAGAATCTTTCGCAGAGAATTCATTTTTTAAAACATTTCAAATGGTAAAGTTTTATTTGCATGGAATTAAATGTACACAAATATTGCTTTTATTTTTTCGGGTTTTAATTGATGCAATCACGATCTTTCTTCAACAATGTCAACTCGATCGTTTGAGCGTTGAATTGCTGAAATTTGAGCGTTTTATTGCTGAAGTTTATAGTTTTCTGTGATGAATGTAACTTACATTGTTGCTTTGAGAGCCTGAGTTGACGTATTGTTTGGGGATCTTGTATGAGGATTTGTACTGGCAGACTGGCACCGTCATTCCACATCTGTGATAGATGTTGAACTTTGGATCCGCGCTGAAGACGAGATTGCTTGAGGTGCCCGTCAATTGGAACATCCCGTTCGCGTCAGAGTTCACTTGAGCCAGCTTTGTGTCGGGCAAAACTGGAAAATTGAATTGGAAAGTGAAAGAAATGGCTTACTGTAATCAGATAGATAGATTTCTTAAAGAATATTACTACGAAAAACCTTTGATCTCAAGTAAAATGTAGAATTAGTTTTTTTGAAACTCACTGGTGTTATCATCGTAGAGCTTGAGCTTGGCGCCTGAGTAGGGTCGTCCATTGCATGTCAAACGGCCAACAACGGAGACTGTCTGAAATGTACTTTTGATTGTTTACTGTAATCAGATAGGTAAATGATATGTTAGTGAAAAGTAAAGAATACTTTAAATATTCTCGAGACCTAACTCACAAGATCTAACTCTTGAGCTCCAACTCTCGAGCTCTAACTCTCGAGACCTAACTCTCGAGCTCTAACTCACAAGATCTAACTCACAAGATCTAACTCTCGAGATCTAACTCTCGAGATCTAACTCTCGAGATCTAACTCACCTGCACAGCAGCATAGGAGACACCGAGAAGCGCCAATAGCAACAAAATAGCCGATCGGGTGAGCATACTGAATTTCTAAATTGAAAATAAGTTTCAAAAGTTATTTAGACAGCTTTTTGAAACAACACAACTTTATAAAAATGCCAGTTTTGAGTAATGAAATGAAGAAGCTTGGTTAAAGTTGTGATTATATAGGCTCAAGCTCAATCAGAGAAAAAAAAGTCAACAAAAACTGATCACAGTGACTCATCAAGTCAATAAAAAGAACAAAAAACTATGAGTTCATCGAATTTCACTGAAATTTTGTTCTATTTTTTGGAAAAATGGGGAAAAGGTGAAAAAAACCAGTCATTTTTGAGTCACTATTGCATTTTAATCGTTTTCATGGCTATTTTTCTAATATTTTGCCAATAGAAAATCGGAATTTGATTTCTTTGATATTTTTTTTGATTTAATATGATTCAGGTTTCAATATAGAACAAAATGTATTGGATTTGATGTTTTTAAAAGGTCTATTGACTGTCTGAACTTTGTAAAATTGATATTAGTTAAATAAATCCTTGATTAAACTAAAAGATAGATTTGTTTTTATCAAAAATTTTTGGAAAATGAGGAAATTTGGAGGATTTGTTGAATTTCCGCTGCTTAATATTTAGAGTTTACCATTGAACAGGGAACTCACCGTTCACTGTTCAATGGTAAACTTCAATGGTAACGTTCAACGGTCAACGTTCAATGGTAACTTCAATGGTTCAATGGTTGGAGAATAGTGAATGAACGACTCATTTCAAAACTCGGAAGCAATCCTTTTGGAAATCTATCTATGGAAATCTTAAGTCGATCCTTGTTCTGTGTCTAAAATAGCTACAAAGATTCTACGCTATAAATTGAAGACTTCAGGATGAAGACAAAAGGATGAAACTCGTATAACGATCACTGAGAGAACAACTACCATTGTTAAGCAGGTTTAGTCAGCTACAGATGGTCAGCTCAATTTGGTCAGCTACAGATGCAATAGTGCGACTAATCTTGAGCTAGAAAACGACAGACTAGCTACCGTAGTCGGATTGTAGTTTGCCTGTGAAGGAAAAAAAACTCTAAACACCCCATCGCCCATCGGTCAGCCACTTTTATATTCTTGAAAAGTGAATTCGCCAAAGTCAAACAGTCAACCCCCGAATTGAATGAGAAGGGAAAATGGTGTTTGTGTTTGCGGGCACCTAACTCGAGTCGAGAAAAATTCCCCTCGCAAGTAAACAGAAAAATATTAAGGTTAAGAGAACTTTTTGTTGGTGTGAAGATTTCACTTTCAACCACGCTTCTCAAAATCTTTTCACAAACAGCTAAATTCCGAATGGAATAGGTCAAAGCATTTCTTGTCTGTCTGTCTGTCAGCAATCATCGAAATGATGATCGATGATGCGAAACTATTCGAGAAATAAACAATAACACCTTGATCTTTAAAGTTAAATTTAAATTTTTGGCTCTTGTAAAATTCACGAGGTTTTTGAGATCTTTCCTGGGGGGTGGGACAAATGCGACCTTTTTTTTGCGCACCGGGACATTTGCGCACCTTTTTTTTGCTGGAAAAGGCCTTAGGAAAGGTCGTAGAGCTTCAAAAATGTTTTCATAGAAGGGAATTGTATGCGTAGATTCCAAATTTCGACAAATCAGACCTCGCTGACACGTCAAATTTGGGTTAAAAGGCAAAAACTACGCAACTTAACGCTTTTCCGCAGTTTTTGCCTTTTAGCCCAAATTTGACGTGTCAGCGAGGTCTGATTTGTCGAAATTCGGAATCTACGCATACGATTCCCCTATATGGAAATATTTTCGAAGCTCTACGACCTTTCCTAGGGCCTTTTCCAGCAAAAAAAGGTGCGCAAATGTCCAGGTGCTCAAAAAAAAGGTCGCATTTGTCCCACCCCCCTTTCCTGTTATTTCTTTGAGGGTTTCTCTTTGTATTGATTATAATTATTCTTTTAAAAATAACAATTTACATTTAATAATAAAATAAAACCCAAGGAAATAACAAGAAAGACCTTAAAAACGTCGTAAACTTTAAAAGAATCAAATTTTTTTTATAGACAACAATTTTCTGATGATGGCAAGACTAGACTCGAGGAGACAAAACAACAATTAATTGTGGTGAAAACGATTTCATTTTGTGTACTTGGAAGATAAAAAATTGCCTAGAAAATTGTTAGCATTGAGAATTCTCTTCTTTAAAAGTTAACATATCATTAGACAATAATATCCAAAGCGAACGATCAAGCAAACGCTTTGAAAAGTAGAAAGTGATGAGTTTATCAAGTCTATTGTCTATCAAGTCAAGATCAATAGCTTTTTTATATTATACAAGAAATAAACGAAAGCTTACTTATCATATCCGAATTCAGGAAAACTGCTAGATATAATAGCAAAGTAAGATTACTGTAGTTCTCGAAAGTTACTTTAGAAGATGTTTTCTTTGATTGTCTATTAGAAAGATTCATGGAAAGTACTAAAAACTAGATTAAAGTCAAATCTAATTCATTTTCTATTTAAAAATTCAACTTTTATAGCCAAACTCTTGATGGGGTTTTACCATAGAAATATTGAAAACAAAAACAAAATAGCCTACATTGATGATGAGTAATTGTTGTGTACTTTTGTGCTTTTAGAATTGAACTCAACACTTTAATTCAATTCAATTCAATTCAATTCAATTCTAATGATCTACTCAATCCTTATCGTCTCGATGTTTTCTTTGATTGTCTATTAAAAAGATTACAACATTACAAGATTACTTGAATTGGATTTGTACAAAAGTACAAATACAATTCAAGTTGAAAAGGAAAAAATGAAAAGGAAATGAAAATAGAACGAATTATAGAACCCAGAATATATAAGAAACACGTAAACTGGGTGAGACAGATCAAATCTTGAACTCAACACTTCAATTCAATCTAATTCAATTAAATTCAATTAAATTCAATTCTAATGATCTACTCAATCCTTATCGTCTCGATGTTTTGATTGTCTTTGATTTGATTGTCTATTAAAAAGATTCATGGAAAGTATTAAAAACTAGCTTAAAGTCAAATCTAATTCATTTTCTATTTAAAAATTCAACTTTTATAGCCAAACTCTTGTTGGGGTTTTACCATAGAAATATTGAAAACAAAAACAAAATAGACTACATTGATGATGAGTAATTGTTGTGTACTTTTGTGCTTACACAACCACTTTCCTTTTTTTCCATTTTGTTTCCATAACAACAAGCACATGAAAAAGGACAATTTTTATTTGTTTTTAAGGGTTTTGAAATCGTTTGATATACAAGAGATCAGATTTTTGGTGAATTTTTCTTGAATTTTGAATTCATCACTTTCTTCTGTTCAAACAGTCACGATCTTTCGGCAACATTGAGAGTTCGATCGTTTGAGCGTTGTAAACCTGAAAATCAAGTGATTAGATAAGAAAAGATAGCAAAAGCTACTGAAATAGTAATTTCCAAGTTGGAATATTTAGTTATTATTTGCCATCTTTCTTTCAAACCTGTTGCGGTTGAGTGCCAACGGTTACATATTGATAGGGAATATCGTACGATGATTTGTAATAGCAAACTGGCACCTGAAAGACATTTGAATAATAGTTTAAAACGATTTTAATACAATATTCCTTTTTAAAACTAACTTTCAATTATAGAGCAATATTTTTCTTTGGAGTGCTTTAACTTGCTCTAGATAAAAGTGCATTGACAAAAAGTACATTTAACTAAAAGTGCATTGACAGTCAATGCACTTTTAGTCAGTGATTTTGCATTGATTTTGCATTGTTTTCCCATTGTAAACAGCTTCAACTCACCGTCATTCCACATCTGTGATAGATGTTGAACTTGGGGTCCTGATCGGAGACCCAATTGTCTGAGGTACCCGTCAATTGGAAATTTCCATTCTGATTTGTGGTCACCTCGCCGAGTTTCGTGTCAGGGGACACTAAACGATTGGATGATGAGCAATTCGATGATAAGACAAAGCTTTGAAACAAAGAATATCAAAACATACACGTATTGTCATCATAAAGCTTAACCCGAACCCCAGACACTGGTTGTCCATTGCACACCAAGCGACCTTGCACAGCAACTGACTAAACCAGAATTGCTTTTAAATGACCAAGGATTTATATTTAAATCTAATTGCTAATAAAATTAGATACAATTTATTTATTATTATTATTAGACTTATCATTCAAATCCTCACCTCCAGATTTCCAGCTATCAACTGGACAAATGCCATCGAGACGATAAGGATTGAGTAGATCATTTTAGAATTGAAGTGTTGAGTTCAAGATTTGATCTGTCTCACCCAGTTTACGTGTTTCTTATATATTCTGAGTTCTATGGTTTGTTCTATTTTCATTTCCTTTTCATTTTTTCCTTTTCAACTTTTTCTCAGTTTTTTCCTGACATCATTGACCAGGTCTTTCCTTTGAAAAGAAGTGAAAAAGTTTCGATGATGTTGGTCATCTTACTCAAACTCAATGTTTTCCCCTTAACGAATTTTGGTGAGTAACAAAAAGTAGAAAATGTTGACTTTCAAGTCAAAAGCAGGGCATAGAGATGAGGCACAGAGTTGAGTCATCCCTTTAAACAGCCATGACGAGATTGAGTAAATTACAAATCATAAAGTCAACTGGATGAGATTTGTTAAAGAACAAAGATCATAAAGATCAAGATGACTGATTTAAGAATAGATAAAAAAATTGCGAAAGAATAACTCAAAAGGAATCCAGTTTTCAGCCAACTCAGTAAATGATTTCTTGACTCTACATGATGGTTTTGTCTCATTAGATAAGTTTATCTCTTTTTCTGTTCTTTTCCTCGAATTTTCTACTCCTCAAATTGATGCTTGCTCAATTTTTGTATGTTTGAAGTGCTTACAGATCCGGATCTTTAACCTTTTTCAACACAATTACCTTTTTTCTCTAATAGTAGTGAACCCCGGTGAGCCGAGTTAGTAACTCGGTTTTAATTTTACGGTTTTCAAGTTTTTGCAGAACCTCAACACTCTTATCTCGTTTAAATGACGTTTAAATGACGTCTACACGTTTAAATGTTTAATTTCTTGTAGTTCTTGACTGTTATAATTAGAGCGTGTTTCCCTCAAATAATCTCAAATAAAGCTCAAATAAAGGCTCGATTGAGGGCCTTCCGAGTGTTCCCAGCTTACCAAAAGAAGTTTTAAAAAGAAATCCTTAGCTTAATGCACCGCACTGAGCCGAGTTGATGTCGATTTTACGCTTCTGAAGTTTTCACAGAAGCTCAACCCTCTAATCTCCCACTAGATCTCATCGTCAGCTACATTTTCCGCCCCCACATCGACAGGTTCTGACAAGCGGTTTTTGAGATTTCGAGCAATTTAGGCAACGCTCTGGGTGCACTACTATTAGAGAAAATACGGTTTTATCTCTAGTTGTTTACGCAATTTTAACCACCCCAACAGTCGGTTATTTATTTTTCTATTTATGTTTTCTATTTATATTTTCTATTTGTTTTCGATTTAACACCTTTTTTCCGTCAAAAAATTTTTAACGCTACGACAGTTGATCACTGAGAAAAGCTACTCTGTAAATAAAGTTGTCAAAACTCTTCAAAACTCTTCAAAAACGAAAGGCGAAAAATCTTTCTGTTGATATTTACTAGAGCATAGAGAAAAACTCAAAATTTGAAGAGAATTTTTTAGTGTTTAGGCTAAAAACCTTGAAATATCTTTATTCTTCTTTGATTTAACACCCGTATCATTTACATATTTACATATAGAATGGAAAAGAAAAACAAAAGCACATAAAGCTTCAAAAGGCACAACATTGCTACTCGTAAACTGAAAAAAGAAAAAAAAAAAAACAAACAATTAAGCACTAATAAAGATGATAAAATCTTGAGAAAAATTTTTTTTCCATAAAATCTTATTTTCTAAACGTGTCGAATCGGAATTGAGACAAGGGCCTTGTTTTTGTGATAGAAGCCAATGGTTTGTTGCTAAAATTATTGATTTTTGATGATTGATCAGAGATTTTGTTTTTGATAATTAAGAATTGAACATTACGTTTACAAAAGATTGAGAAAAAACGAAATACAAAGCTTTTTAAGCTCAACTTTTGCTCAACTCACTTTTCGTCGCCTTTCCTGCGCGTGCTTGGTTTTTATTCGGTGAATTTGCCAGGCCAACCAGAAGAAAACGGCCAACACGGGAACTGAAAAATGAAATGATTGAATCGAGTTTCGATTGCATTCACTTTGAAATTAGTTATTACCGTAAATACTGTAATAGTGCCCCACCCCCATAATGACGGTGCGGAGCGTTGCGTAGTCTAGCATTGGACGCGTTTTTCTCGACACTGGTTTATGCTACAATGCGCGCTTAGGTATCAAAAAATAGCTGAAATTCAGGGCTATTTTTTGATACCAAAGACGCATTTTTTGAAAGTGCGGGTGCTTTGAAAAAAAATGAAATACTAAAAAACTTTTGCGACTACGCGACTGTACGAGGGGGTGGGGTACTATTACAGTATTTACGGTAGCTAATTTAGTTAAGTTTTAATCTCTTTTAAATTTCCTTCCTCTTAATCATTTACCTAACAATGCAGTTGTCACATAGCCGGCCGTGTAATTCTTGACGGCGTCAAATTTGACGAGCAAAATGATACCAATTTCGATAAGAAACAGCACCAAACCAATCCATGTCGAGATCAGCCACGAGAGATCGATGAAAAATCTGAAATTATGTAAAATGATAATCGATTTGTAATAGAAAAATTAGCTTTTTTTGAGTTTTTAGAGATTAGAAATATATAAAAAGCCTAGAAATTTGTTTAGCATTAAAGAACTGACGACTACGCAAGAAAAAATGAATGTGTCTATTCTTGTATTTCGATGGAAACAATGAGGGGAACGTCATGAGATCTGAGAGCATCATTACCGAAATTTCCGATGTGGAAACTCGTCATTGCAAGCATATGCATCGATGAATGGTCGAATACATGTAGACATCATGAGAGCGATGAGATGAACGGAGACCAATAGAGTCGTCACAACACCCAAAATGATCAACAAGTAGGCTGGCGTCTCTTTTTGGTATTGAAGCTCGACCAAGGCTATCTGGAATTTAAACAACTATTTAATCAATCTTTACAACGAGTAACTGGCGAATAGGCAAAGGTTTCCCACAAGTTTGTTATAAAAGAAGATCAAGCTAGAATGAGGCTAGTTCATTCTTAGTTCATTTTTATCATATTCTCTTTTAAGCTTGAGGCTTAAAAGAGGATACAACTAGCGAAAATTCGAGTTGCCTTTTTAGTTAACCCCGTTAACTCATTTTCTATTTGTTGCTCATCCATTGCTCCTTTTAAAAACATCGTGGTGCTCTTTTTTCTTTTCTCAATTTTTCCCCGGAAAATTAATTGCTTTGTCACAAGTTTCAAATCCTTTAGGTGCTTCATTTATCGTTATCAACTGATGTAATATCGTTGCTCATCAGAGCCAAGTTTCCGTTAGATAAACAATATCGTTACCATTTAGAAATCTCATTTGAAATAGAGATAAATAAGAGATCTCAACCAAAGAGTGGAGATACAAAAGGGAAATATAAATAGTTCTTATTCTAGTTAAAATACTTGCTTGAGCTCACCATAGCAAATCCAGAAAGCAATCCAGAGGTACGAGAAGAGGCTTTGAGTTGAGCTTTTGCCATCTCGAAGTCTTGCTTGTTTGAGATGTTACTGGGGCTGTATCTGAAAGAAACTTGTTTAGTTGAAGCAACTAACTCTTACTCTTAACTAACTCTAACTCTTACTCTTAACTACCGTAAATACTGTAATTGGACCCCACCCCCCTCGTACAGTTGCGTAGTCGCAAAAGCTTTTTACTATTTCATTTTTTTCAAAGCGCCCGTACTTTCAAAAACGCGTCTTTGATATCAAAAAATAGCCCTGAATTTCAGCTATTTTTTTGATATCTAAGCGTGCTTTGTAGCATAAATCAGTGTCGAGAAAAACGCGTCCAAAGCTAGACTACGCAACGCCCCGCACTGTCATTATGGGCGTGGGGTACTATTACAGTATTTACGGTAACTCTTACTTTCAACTAAGCAACTAACACTTCCTTTCATTCTAATATCTTCATTTTCATCACTCACAATTTTTGTTCCATCCAATTAGATGGTTGTCGTGTGGATGCGATGAGCGGTAATGTATCGGAAGAGCTCTGCATATCTTCCATCGAAAGTGACGCGAAACTCATCGGATTTTCGAAGTGAATGATGAGAGTGAGATATTGAAAGAGCTGAAATGATATGATTATCGAATGAAATTATAAAAAGGGATTGGAATGGATACAATACAGCAAATGAATAAACAAATCGGCTTAAACAAAAGTTGAAAGAGATCAAGATCAAAATTTAGGAAATTCAAGAAATTCGGTTCCAAAACAAGTTATGCTAATGCAGATATAAATCAAGCTTCAAAAAAGCTAATAATTTCAGAACTGTATGCTTTACCTGGTATTGTATCCAGAGCTACAGTACAGGGAGTAGTTCAAGGCATCAATGAAGTGAAATTTGGTCAGAAATCGTCGAAATATTTGATCCAATTTGGCAAAGAATAATCCCTTCTACTCCTTCATCAAAAAGGAAATACAGTATAAAGAATTTGTGGGCGGGATTTATGTAATAAAACCCACAATTTGCCAAATTTCCTTTCCTTTGCACTACCCACGCAAAAATATCGATGAGTCTATCCTTTTTCTTTTTTTTTTTTTGATCATCATCAGTCTATCAATTTCTTTTTTTTTTTCTTTGATGGGGGTTCAGCGAATTTCTGTGAGATATGAGTTTTTACTAAAGCTAACACACAAGGTGTCGAAGACACGTGCACAGCAGGTTTTTCTTTTGAAGGAAACGACAATGTACTCAATGGAAAGAATAAGAATGAAAAAGAATTCTTGATGTTTAATTCTTGATTTAGATTTAAATTGCTTCAAAATGATTCTACAATTCTTTTAAACAAGTTTAGCAAGGAGAAAGAGATTGTTTTCAACAAGTTGAAAGAGATCAAGATCAAAATCTGGTTTTTTTTGTGATACTTTTTAAGTTATCAACTTAAAATTCATGATTATATAGTCAAAATCTTTCAAAACAATCAAATTTTGAATTGAAATCTATTTGGAGAATAAAATACTATGTAAATAACTCAAAACCGGAAATGGATAGAGGGATTTGATGAACAAGAATGAGATCTCATCAGAAAGTTATCGAAAGTTATCGAAAGTTATCAAAATTTCAAAACTTATATGATTACGCAAAAATGTTTGAAATTTCGGATCGTTTTTTGCTGAGTTGAATGGGATAATTCAAAAATTACGATCAGCTTAACGAGTTTTTTTGGAGAAAGTGAGCAACGAAACAATCGAATTGGAGAGATTTTGAAGAGAAGATAAAAGAAGAAGATAAAACATTTTAAAATATAGAATTTAGAATTCAGAAAGTTTTCAATTAAGCTAAGCTTTTTAATCTAAAAACTGATGAAATCAGACTTTCAAATGAAATCTGTAATGTTTGGCTCAGCATTGAGAGATGTACAAGAGTACAATCTGAGAGATGTACAAGAGTACAATCTGAGAGGTGTACAAGAGTACAATCTGAGAGATGTACAAGAGTACAATCTGAGAGATGTACAAAAGTGAAACATTCTTATAAAGATGTCAAACAACTGTTAGAATCTAGAATCGTGAAAGTATTCAGTTGTAAATCCTTTATCAATGTCTTTATATTTTAAATCATCCATAAGTTTATCACATTTCATTTGGCCAAGCTTCGTTCGACCAACAAGTGTCTCTTTGATCGATTCGATTCATTCGATTCTTTCGATTTCATCGTTCTCCGTCAAATCTATCACCTTTTTATCTTTTCTTTCAAATCTTTTCAAAATCAGCTTTCTTCTACATCATTTTTGTTTTGATTTCTCTTATCATATGATTATCCGTACAATTTCTCTTCTCCAAATGATTCATAAGTCAATTTTCGGAAAATTACGCAACTCTTCACATCATTTCCATCAAATCCATCAAAAAAAATGTCACTGAAATTTGTTGCTGATCTTTAAAAATAGATTCCAATAAACATATAGTTAAAATAGAAATTTCCCTGACCCGAAAATAGTCTTTTGTTGTAAAAATGAAATCATAAAAGTCTACTGCTAGAAAAATTCAGATAAGACAATTGATTTCCTCAAACTTTACTATTAGATTTACCCAAATTCGGAAATTCAGAAATTCGTCCATTTCCTTCATTCATCAGTAAAGTTTTGAGATCAATGTTCAATCAATGAAATCTGCAGAAATCAATCTCAGCACCACATTGGCAGCAAGAAAAACTGAAACTCATAACTTTTCAGAAAACAAAGCTTTCCCCTTTTTCACTTTTGACTGAATGTTTTTCTTTTTCACTTTTCACATTTCACACCACACAACTCTCCCATAAATGATTGCTAATATCCAAAAAGATGTGAGAAAAATAAGATTGAGATTGAAAAAAGGAGTGCATGTGAACGAGAGAATGATTTTGTAAATGAAGAAAAAGGAATGTGTCTATTCTTGTATTTCGATGGAAACAATGAGCGGAACGTCATGAGATCTGAGATCATCAATAACTTATTGACATAATGAGGAAATTGTTGGCTCTGTCGTCAAAAACCAAAGACTTTTACAATCCTTTTGTTTTCTTTGAAAGATTATTGCATTCTCAATAGAGGTTAAGGAAAATTAAAAGTAATACATTTAAGATAAAAACTTTAATCATAAAAAGTGAATAGATTAGATCAATCCCCACCTACGCAAATTTTGCCACTTTTATTGAAATCCTCGTGCGTAAATTGTCCCGTAAATTGTCTGGAGAAATCGGATCCTTCGTCAAAAATGGAAATAGAGATTTTGAAGGAAAAAAAAGAGCTCACTGAGTCAGGGATGTCAAAGAAATTGGGATGGATTTCTTATGAAAAGCGATTTGCGATTGCGGATTTGCGCAAATCAAGTGGAAACAATCATATATTGTTTCAAATCCTTACAACAATTCAAATTTACATATCTCGGTTTGCCGTTTTCTCTATTTCATCCTTATCATATCTTTGCAAAAGGCTTAATCCTTGAAATCTTAAAAAAAATCTACAGTCGAACCTCTCTATAACGTAACTCACGGGACGGCTATAGCTTACGTTATATAGAGGTTTACGTTATATCGAGGCTCGTTATAGAGAGGTTCGACTGTATTTTTATATAAAAATTAAACCTTGAGAGATGCGAAATAAGAGAAAAGACAATAACAACAACGCACTGAAAATGGAAAAGATATCAAAGTGATTGATAAGCTAGTCTAGACTGACTAGGCAAATATTATGCTCAAAACTTGGATAAATAAACCGAAAACTGTAGTGTTGCTCAAAGTTCATGGGATAATTAAACGAAGTGGTAGAATTTCCCGAATCTTTGATGGACTTGCCTTGCCATTTGTCGATTTCCCGTCTACCATCTATCCATCGCTGTATGTTCAACGGTTTTGCCCGTCCAGTCACACAAAGACCCACACAGATTGGGTAGTCTTTGTTGAAGTCTTTCTCTTTTCTTTTCTTTTCTTTTCTTTTCTTTTCTTTTCTTTTCTTTTCTTTTCCTTTCTTTTCTTTTCTTTTCTTTTTTTCTTCGTTTAGTTGTTACTTAATCCATGGCAAATGGTCGGAAAGTGAAATTATTTGCTTTATTCAATCATTCACTTGGGTACACGACAAATGGAGGGATGAAAAAGAGCATTGGTGCCATAAAAAAATGTTCAATTTTAAGGGAAAAGGTTTACGTTTTACTTTAGAAATCAATATGTGAATAAAACGATGACATCATTGAGCATAGCGGTCCAGTTGAGTGAGCTAGAAAAGGTTTGTGAGACTTATGAGCATAAAACACAAGAAGTACACGCACTGACTATGAAAAGGATAAGAATATGCTAAATATTTGATTTAATGGCTAACACAAGGAAATGCCTATTCAACAAAATAAAACTGAATTTCTAGCTAACATTGTCGTCGTTTGTGAAGACTGAATACTGAATATTTGTGAAAGCTGAATACTCAACTTTCCCCTAGTTTCTGGTCTTTCAATCAGTTATTATATTAACGAAATTTTAAATTAAAATGTTAATTTAAACAAAAATAAAGAGAAATTGGTTTAAATTTTTAAAAAACAAGCAACAAATTAGGGTACAGTTTAGAGCCAAGGGAAACTCATCAATGAAACGACAGAATGCAACGATTGGGTAGTCTTTGTTGCTTGTTTTTTAAAAATTTAAACCAATTTCTGTTGGAATGAAAAATGAAATGAAACGACAGAACGAAACGACAGAACGAAACGACAAATAGGATCCCATTTAACATTCGAAATGTTCAAAATTGTCTCTAATCTAAAGTTTTTTTTGATCCAATTCAACGTTTGAACTCAGCCCACAGTTTTCTATTTCACTTTTTGGATGTTTGATCTGAGCATTTAGATCAGTTTTATGTTGTCGATCGTTTGACGAGTCGGTTCGATCAGAGAGATTGAAAATAAAAAAATGAATGAGCCTTTTCCATTTGAGTGTTGGTGTTTCAAATGCAAGTGCCATTTTTGATAATTGAAGTTTATTTTTCAAAGAAAAAAAGATAAAAGAGATCATATAGAGTCTTCAGCGAGAAAGACAAGCTCGGGGAGAAGTTGCACAATAAAAGATTTCATTGAAAGACTTCATTGAAAGACTTCATTGAAAATTTCATGAATTACTTGTTACTAGTTTTTCAAAGCATTGATAAGGATAGTATAAGCTTTCAATATCCAATATGTCCACCATCGTGCGATCGATGATCGTTCGTCGTTTGGAGAACACCCCACGCACTTCGGCTCACACCGAAAACGGAGAAACGAGAGTCGGCCATTTGCCGCACTTGATGACCCCGATCGGAGAGCTCGTGAAGAAGATCCTAAAGACGATATTGTGCTGGAGTATTGGTGAAACATTTCTACCACTACAGAAAACACAACATCTCAGTTTTCTTAGGGTTTTGCCTTGGTTAAAACAAGCAGCCAAACCAACTAACAGTCCGACTTGAGAACTTTACAAATTCTACATTATTTTGAATCGATCCAATCAATCCAATTGAATCGATCCAATCGTTCCAATTGAATCGATTCAATCAATTCAATTGAATCGATTCCCTCTTTAACTCACTCGATCAAATCCTTGCTCAAAGAAAGCGTTATCCGGAATGAATTGACTGAATATCAATTTCTGTTGAGCGCTTTCAGCTAAAGGTCTCTCGAAGAAAAGAGATCTTGTCAAAAGTGAGGCCATTGATGGGACAATTCGAGTCCCGCCAATTCCACCAGCAGACAAGATTGCCTGAAAAGGATTTAGTTCCAATTTGGATACAAAAACGAAAATTCTTATCAAAATCCACGAACCTGTCCATTCTCTCGATTCAACGCGACTATCGGACTCAAACTGCTCATCGGACACTTCCCAGGTTGGATGAAGTTTGTCTCTGATTAAATAGAGTTTAAATAGAGTCCAAGAAGTTCAAGATGATCACCTGATGGGGGAAAACCAAATTCACTGGGCACATTCGGCATTGAGAAGGCGTCCATCTGGGAATTATAGACGAAACCGAAACGGGAGGCTCTCAACGAACCAAATCTGAAATTGTAAGACTGGGGATTAAATTAGAGCTTCATTAGAGTTCTAATTTAATCTAATTTAATTAAGTTTCATTGCAAGACTGTCACTAACGGTGTGTTGATGCTGGATGAGATTGCGATTGCATTTCCAAACTCATCGATCACCGACACATGCGAAGTTCCGTGATCAGCAGCCTGAAATCGGAATGTGCTGCATTGTTGTGTTGTAAGTATTGTATTATAACTTTATTGTAAAATAAACCTAATCCCAAACCTGTATCTGTGGTGTTCCATAATATCGAAAATCTTTCGTTTTCTCGGGAACTTTCCGACTAAGCCATTCAATGTAGGTCGAGTTTAGCATTAAATTGATCTAAACAGAATCTAACCGAAAATCTCCAGAGTTTACCATGTAATCCGAATTGACAGTGAAAGCCGGATCTCCTAAAGTGACTCGTTGCGCAAAAGCGAACTTTGAAGCCTCAATGAAACGATGATGAAATTGAACGGTTTTCAGATCTTCGTCAGAGAAATTCGATGGATATAAAGCTAAAAGCGGAAATGAGAAATATTTCCTCGCCAATTACCATGCATTGTGGCGACAATGAGTTGAGTGATGAGGAAGGATGAAGGAGGACGAGGGCCACAAAGGGAAACTGTGGAGTGAAAAGAGGTACAAAGGGCTGGCGAGAGGACACTCTCGTAGTCCTCGAAGTCGAGTTTAGTGATGATTCCACCTGGAATTCATTTTTTTCTTTGATTTCCACAGTTCCACAGGAGAGTTAATTTCAAAGTCATTTCAAAGTTTCAAAGAAAAAGTACAAGCAAAATGGTGATTAACCTCCTTTTCGTATCTCTTTCACAACCTGCTCTCCCATCTCATCTTTGTAAAAGAGTTCTACCGGATCATCGGCTTCAGCTATCTGAAAATGATCTGAAAATGAAATAGTAAAGTGAGAAATTTGAGAATTGTACTATTGGCTGAAAATTCTAAAGAATATAGGCTTATAAATTGATCAAAAATCGACCTGTTGAAGTGTTTCGGCCAATCGATCTCTTTGCATCGTTTCTCCTTCTTTATACAACTCGGCCGTTCTTGGATTGATCAATAAAGATCTGAGAAATGATTAAATTAATCTAATTAATCTAATGAATCTAATTAATCTAATTAATCGAATTAATTTAATTAATCTAATGAATCTAATGAATCTAATTAATCTAATGAATCTAATTAATCTAATTAATCAAAAAAAATAACAAATACCGAATAGTTTCCTCTTCAAACAATGATCGATGTTTGAGTTGAATGATTGAAGCGAGATCAGCACCGACTCTCACCCCCTTTTTTGCCAATTCCACTGATGGCCATACAAGGTCATGCCATGAGATTCGATGACTTCCAAATCGCTCATACATTCGCCACAAACCGTTCAACTCACCCGGCACAGCTATGGCTCGATAACCTGTTGAGTATGTTAGCCAATCTAGCCAATCATTCTTCATACTCACCTTCAGATGCATCTCTTGGATTCGAAACGAACATATCTTTCGTTGAGGCTTGTGGAGCTGTTTCTCTGAAAGAATTTCTATAGAATAATCAAACTCTAGAAAAAGAGTTCCTATAGGAAAAGAACAATTAAACTAGTACTCTATTTTTATGATATATTGCCCATTGTACTGTAATTACCTTGCATTCACCTCCGTACACCTTCCTCCCTTCTCACAAAAAATTCCCATCAATCCACCGCCAAGACCACTTGCCTAAAAGTTATCTTCTAATGATAATTGTTCACTTTCTTAACTTTTTCATTAATTGATAAAAGCCTGACCTGTGGCTGAGTGACACCTAGACAGAAAAGAGCGGCAATTGAGGCATCAGCCGCATTTCCACCCCTCACTAGGATCGCACTATAAACCAGTTTTTCTGTAAGTTGTAAGACAAGCAATTTCACTAGTACTGCAGTAATGTAATCTAAACTAATCTCACTTTCCAATGTCGCTGCACCGCTTGTCATTTGAGATCACCGCCGCCGTTTTCAGTGGTAAACGTTCGGAGGACTAAAATATTCATTTGCCCAAGCTTTAACTAGCTTTAGCCTTTATCAAAGAACAAATTAGCAATGCTTCTATATTATAAAAGATCTCTCACCGATGATGATTGCCCGAAAGGCTTTTGCTCGTTAATCAAATCGATTGACACCTCAACACCATTTGGATTCTAAATTCAACAATATATTTCCTCAAAAATGTCAAACTCCATCGATCGAGTTTTCCCAGCTGTGCCCCAAGCGTGGATGTTTTCTAAAAAAGAACGAAAAAGAAATTTGTCCGATTGTTGCTGTTAACCTCATAATCATCGATGTTCTGTTGACTTCATGTGAGTCAGTTCCATGATAATCATCAACATGCATTGAATTTGTCTGGAAAAGATGAGCATTGAACAAATTGGTGGAATAGGAAATTGACTGTATTCTTTGTGTCCACGTTTTCCAAATATCAAAAGGAAAAGCTACAATAGCCTGACTTGTCAAGTAAATGAAAGGTGAGATAAGGTGGTAGCTTTTTCTAGAGATTTTTTTAGAAGATGTTACGTAGGCCAATGCAAAGCAATTTTCTTTACATTGAAAGTCTTAGAGTTCTTATTTAATTTTTAATTACCGGTTGTGTATTGTAGATGACATAGGTGAAGAAAAGAAGTGAAAGAGCGACGATCACAATCGTTTGAATCACCACGACAATCCAAGCGATTTCTTGTCTGAAAATGAAATGGAAATATGAAATAAATCTTTATTGATTATTGATTATTGCCTTGTCTTCAATGCTTGAAATGGTGATCGTCTGGCGGGTGGGTGATGGTGTAAATGGGGATGATGAGGATGACCATGACTGGGAATTGGAGGAGCCACAGCCACTGGCATTGGACTTCCACCATCTAATAATAAACAAAATTTAGAAATTATTGAAAAAACAAGATATTCTTTTAAACTTAATTAATATTTTGTTAGATTTAAAAGAATGAATTCCTGAAAAAAAACGACGCCTTACAATAATCAAAGAAATTCGGTGTCGAGTAGTAATCGGGATATTTCGCGTACTCGTACTGATGACTACTGTAGCTTGTTTTTCTTGATGGATTCACTTCGTAACTTGCACGATTTTTCTTCAAAGTTTTCTCATCGATCTCTCGTGGTTTTCCACCAAGAGCCGATTGAATATATCGATCTTTCCAAAAAAGAAAATCGTTAGATGGAGTGGAGGCCAGTGTGGAGCTTTTGCTTGAAATAAGAAAGAAGAAAAGAATATAATCTAGACTAGAAAATGTGCTTAAAGAAAGCAAATGGATCAACGATTAAGTCGCAAAGAATTTAGCCACAAAGTTCTGAAATGGCTGATTTCAGAAGATCAGTGAACAGATCAATAACTCACAGCAACTGAACTCCTCCTTGCCGTCAAATCGAAAGCTTCCGGGTTTCCGAGTCTGCTTTTGTTTTTCGAAAAGTCTCAGCTTCTTCTTTTTCTTTTTTCACACATTCAGAAGAGACACATTGAATTGAGAGTTCCTTTTTGATGGTCACTCCTCACACAGACAAAGTCCGGTCATCTCTCTCGAGTCTCAAAGAATTTTCTCGCCTCTCTTTTGAGTGTTCCTTTTGTCTTCAAAGGAATTCATCCAGAACGTCTCGTTGAGAATCGGGAAAAGATGAAAGAATGAAAAATGGAAATGTCAATCTCTGCGAGCAGGAAAGATGAGCATTGAACAAATTGGTAGAATAGGAAATTGACTGTACTCTTTGTATCAACATTTTCCAAAGACGAAAAGGAAAAGCTACAATAGCCTGACTTGTCAAGGAAATGAAAGGTGAGATAATGGTAGCTTTTTCTAGAGGTTTTTTTAGAAGGTGTTACGTAGGTCAATGCAAAGCAATTTGAATCAGTTGTTGTTGTTGTTTTGAATCAGTAATCAGTTGTTTTGAATCAGTAAAGTGTTTCAAAAAGTTAAATAAAAGTGCTTAAGGTATGGACTTGTATCTAAAAATGTTAACTGTTGTAAGGAAATGAAAACTAACTGATTGATAGGCTGACTCGTCGACTCGATTTCACCGGTTGACTCATAGACGTTCGTCGATTTGTTGATGGACTTGAAAAGCGACGATTCTTTATCAAGTCTTGTAGGGATTTAAACGATTGGGTGGCAATTTTGAAGATAAAATGAACAGATTATAGATTCAACAAAGATAGTGTATCGATTCCAAATCAGGGATGACGTTAGATAGATGATAGGGTTGATTGGGATCTCCTCCACTCTTTTTTTTCGCACTCTTCATCTCTCCAAAAACTCTCCAATGAGAGCCCCCTCTTTGTCATTTCTTTTTCCGAGTGCTTCGCTTCAACTATTCAAAAGATTTTGGTCATAAAGGGAAAAAAAAAAGATGAAAGACCATAAGATCTACAATAATTCAGCGATACAAGGTCATGCCATGAGATTCGATGACTTCCGAATCGCTCATACATTCGCCACAAACCGTTCAACTCACCCGGCACAGCTATGGCTCGATCTACAATAATTCAGCGATATCTATTAGGTTGGCCATTAGGCCAACCTAATAGATATGCTTAAATTAGGTCTATGAAAGTTCTTTCCGTTTTTTGATGCTAGATCTAACTTTTTATTTTACACATCAAAAACGCCAAATAAAAAAAAAAACAGAATTTATCTACTCGAAATATTCACCGTCAACATCAATAACATCCTGCCACTTATCCGGCAACAAATAGATTCCGCGGCGGTAAAACTCACGTGGCTTCGAATCGAAAAACTGAGTGAGTGACAAGCGAGTAATAAATGGACTAAGATATCTGTCTGCCTGTGCGCACTACTCCTCTACTACTACCTCTACTACTACTCCATTGGGCCGTTTCAAATGGCTTAATAATTTAGCTTAAAATTTTATGTAGTTGTGCAACATGTTTTTGAATTTTTTAAAAACCAAAAGTGTTGACGCGGGTGGGAGTCGACCCGGGTCGTGTGGGCTGGAGAAAAGTGTCCTCGCACTGCGTCATCTCCTGCATGGTCAAGTGGTTAACGTGCGCGTCATTCAAACGAACGGAAGAGATGGGTCGCGGGTTCGCCTCTTCTCGCCGCAAAATTCTTTGCTGCAAAACAGCAGCGAGGCTTCTGGTATCAACAATATTTGAGTGATCCTTGTTTACCTTGTCATTGTTCTCTTTATAAATGAAGTTTTTAGCATTGTGTTTCTATTTTTAACATCAACTAATTCAAAAATATTCAATTATCTTTATGTCCTCTTCCAAAATATAGAACTTTTATTCCGCATGTATTTACGAAAAGTTACTGTGAAATAAAACATGATAGACATTCAATGAAATTGATTAAAAAAAACAAAATCATCACTAATCTCGTAAGAAAAGTTTCAAATTTCAAATTTCAACAACAAATAGGAAGAATTCGAGCGTATGAACAGCAAAAAAAGGAAATATTTTGAGATTTCATAGGGAAATTTTTATCTTTATCAAAAAACAAAAGAGAGATTTGAAGCCCCTGATTAGATATCTGAAAAATTTCATTCATAATAATAAAAAAAAAAAGCCGAATTTCTTAAAGTAGAATAGCTTAAATTTGAGCACAAAATGACGAAAAAAAGAGAAAAAAAATGGAAAACTCACACAGAAAAATCACGAAAAAGGCCATATGACAAGAATTTCAGCGCAAAGAACAAAAAAGAAACAAAAAGAAACACAACGGGAATTGAGAAGAAAAGATAACACATGAAAAATTCGAAAAGGCACTTGAAGGTTTTCTTTTTCTTTTTCTAAATGGTTCTAAGGGAATTGAAAGATCAGTGCATTTTTTAGAATTCGAATTTGGGTCACTTGGGGAAGCTAGAGGAGAGCTACCAAGAGCTACCAAGAGCTACCAAGAGCTACCAAGGTCGACAAAATTGTCCCCAAAAAGCCAATGGAAAACATTTTAAGCACTTATCTTTTAAACTACTCAAATCTATAAAGTTTCTAGAGAAATGCAAAGATCAATGGGCAGAGAGAAGACTAATTTCTTTACCAAAATTTCAGTTCCTACAAAAATTCGTTTCTTTTTTTCAAACTCGGCTTTTAATGGAATGTGTAGCTTATTTTTTAAAAGAATCTACAATTTGCCTAGTATCAACTAGACTTTATTTGGCACTAATCAAGAGGTGACACTCACTAGACACTAGACTTGCTTAACAAGACAGATCAAAAAAAAAATCGGGTCGCGTAACTCCAGGCGCTTCATCTAGCCTTCAGAGCATTGGATTCTAATGAACTTTTTTTTATTTAAAAGCCAAGATTTTCAGCTATCTAATAATACTCATCACTTAAATTTTTACTTTGAAAAAGTGGGTCAAAACCCTTATCGAGACTTAACAAGACAATTCCTCGTTATCTCGTTAAGTCGTTAAGTCGATAAGGCTTTTGGCTCACTTTTTCAAAATAAAAATTTAAGTAATAAATACCATTGGATAGCTGAAAATTTTGGCATCTAAATTAAAACAAAGTTCATTGAAATCCGATGCTCTGAAGGGTAGATCAAGCGCCTGGAGTTGCGCGATCCATTTTTCTCGTTAATTCTCGTTTAGCAAGTCTACTAGACACTATTACTGCAAAAAGTATTGCAGTTGTGGAAAATATAGAAAGAAAATCTGGAAATGAGAAATGGGGGTAATTTTTTTGGTCAATATTTGAAAGGAGGAGACTTTTCTGTTGAGCATTAGAGGAATGATGGGTAAAATGGTGAATGATTCTGGTAAATCCATGGAAATCGATCAACTAGAGACACACATCCATTAGTTTGAAAGGGTTTTTTTTTTCTATAAACGATGAGCATCGACAACGTGATTGATTGTGGCTTGAAGGGGATCACTTGGATCATCGCCGAGACCGGGTAAAGGACGAGCGATTAGACCGAGTGGGTAGACATACGGATCCGCCGGGCATCTACAACAAACTGAATACAGGATATAGTCAAGTACAATTGGAGATTCGTTGAAGATATTGCTAATTGCTATTGCTATTATTGCTTTCGAACACTAGCTTAAGCTTAAAGCACACGCGAAAACAAAAGAAGGAAATAGAAAACCGTTGTTGTAAAGTTGTAAAGGCAGTAAAGACTAAAACATGTTTCCTGTATAAGTTTTTTTACATTCTGTATCCAGATTTAACTTGTGTATTGATCAGTTCAGTAATCATCTTTAGAAAAGCATTTATTCAACGACATTGCAATACTTACCCCATCTCATCGTACTCCAACATTCCACCCATTCTCACATGGTGCATTCCCATAAAAGGATTGTTCATTTGATACTAAAATTGTGATTTTAACTTCTTTAATAGAATTTAAACCATATGATGATGTTGAAATGGTTCTAAATGTGTTGCAATTGGTAGTTGTTGATGTGTTTGTTGTCTCGCTTGACTCTCGCTCGTTCTCGTTTCCCCTGATTGGCCGTCCTTCTTCTTTGGTCGTCGACCTCTTGTTGAATTAGCCTGTAATCGCTAATCATTGCCAAATTATAAACTTTTAATGCAATTCTTTGCGGAAAAAATGGTACTATTCGATTTAAACAGGATCAGGTAAGTCGAAGACTAAAAGTCAAGTCAATCAGACTAATACTCAAGTCAATCAGACTAAAGTTCTAGTCTGTAATAGCTAGGGAAACAAATCGAATAGTACCGAAAATCTCATAATCTTTGACTCACCTTGTGTGCGTTAATTTTCTCCATTAGTGTCGCCGGATCTACACCCAGAACTGAGGCTTTCATCTTGTCCAATTTGTGATCTAAATTTGCAGCTTGTAAAATTTGAATTCTAACTTAGTTGAAGCATTTTCTATTGAAAGATAGCATTGAAAAATGGTATTATTCGATTTAAAACCGGATTAGATCAGTGCTAAGTCTAGCGATTTAATTTCTGAGCTTACCCTTACAGTCAGGTTCATTAATGTGGCAGGTATTCATGTGACGTTTCATGTTTCCTTTGTAGACGGTCAAGAAGTCACAAAATGGACATAAATAGGGATCGTCTGGGATTTCGCTCTCTTTTTTCATTCCAGGCACAAGAGTAGCTGAGGTTTTCACTGAAATAGATGATTCGATTAGATTTCGACATTTCTAAACCTTCTAACGATTGAAGAGAATGATGGGAGGGTTGGGGGTGTGAGATGATTGAATTCATTAATGGAGGTGGTTGAACAATCTCCATTTGTTGTTGAGGTACGGATGGCAATAACATTGATGGAGGGGACATCACTGGGAGCATTGGGGGCATTGGCGCTAAAAATGACGTCATGGTTAGTGAGGATTTTTTTGGCTTGATCGCTGAAAGCCAGTAGTCAAACAAGTACTATTTTTGAACCCTATAAGCCTTGCACTCACCATCATAGCTCTGATGATTGCTGTGTTGCATTTGAATGGGTTCCGGTGATGACCATTCTCCATTCGTGCTCTCTTCACTTCTTTTCCTCTTTCCATCTGAAATTTTCTTCTTCCCAATCACTTCAAACACGGCAAGAGTATGAAAAGGAAGATTATCTAACTATGAAAACTATTTATGGGAATAGAAATCCTTTTCAAAACACTGCACACACCTTTACCCTTAGGGGCTTTTGGACGTTTGCCACCAGTCTTTCCACATTGATTGATATGGCGACGGATATTGCCCTAGAAATGAATTGTTTACTTTGATTGTTTGAAAGTTTAATCCTTAATCCTTAATCCTTAATCCTTAATCCTTCATCCTTAATCCTTAATCCTTAATCCTTTAAAGAATACCTTGTAATGCGAAATGAATCGATCACAATACGGACAAATTGGTGATAATCCATCAGTTCCATTCACGATCGCACCCGCTTTGGCCGACTCGGTGCCTGGTGGTGGAGGGATGACTGCTGATGCTCGTCCTTCACCATTTCCAGCTACAGCAAGTTGTTCGAGATAGTTGCGACCTGGATGTGTTTGAGATGAGTGGTGCCCATTTAGGGATCTCTCTTGAGGAATTGAGAGAATGAGTTGTGATTGTTGAGTTGATGGCGGAACTTGTCCTCCGCAAGCTGGTGCCACTTGGCATTGATGCGGTGTAAAGCCTGAACATTGGACATTCAGGACAGAAAACATTTCTGAGTATTCATAGAGGATTTTATAAAGCTTTTAAGCTTTAAGAGCTTATCTTAGCTTTAAGAGCTTATCAGTTACAGTAGACGGCTTTAGACGTCTTTAGACGCCGACTTAACAACGAAAACTTTCTCAAAAAATATTGCTAACAATATTGGTAACTTTTCGGTAAAAATTCGCCATTATTTTTGAGTAAAGCTGGGTTTTTTTCTGGATTCAATTCTTCTATGAATACTCATTTTTTAATCAAACAATGGACTTGGCTAAGCTGATCAGCTACCATCGCTTCAAAAGCATTTAAAAAGCTTACACAGAGATTTGGGATTTAAGATTTGGGATTGAAGATTTGAGATTTAAGATTTTGTAAACACAAAATTCCACTGTTGTTCGGTAACAATTTGTGCTACACATATAAAGCAGTGAAGCGAAAAAAAAATGAAATAAAAAAGCTTTTAATCTATGCTTTGAAGCGCTGGAAGCTGACAGCAAAAAAGGAAAGAAGATCTATTGGAAAATTGAAAACTAACCGATAATCTCTCGGCATTTCTCATTTCTACCGATATGTCCGGTAAGACTTCTCCTTGATGGATAAACACCACGACATGCCATACACATCACACGCTCATCGTCCTGCAAAAATTGATTTTTAGGCTGTTGGGGTTGTAGAAGTTTGAATCTAGAGTTCATGTACAGAAGTTTTGAATTTAAAGCTGATGTTGTTGCTGCTTATAATTAGGATTAGAAAAATAAGAAAGACAAACATCAAGCTCAGTTGCTGCTAGAGGAATCGTTTCAAGCGGACTCTCGCTTTGTGGCGGTGTCGATTGATTGTTATTGTTGTGATGGGGAGGAGTGACACTGTTGTTCGACGTGGATGATGTTGGCCTTTGAGAGATTGATGTGGCCGGTGAGGGCACAACGGGTAGGGTATTGATCTGAAAATTCAAATTCAAGATTTACTAGAGATTAGAGTTACTAGAGTAGAGTTAACCTTTCGACAAAGCTCTAAAACACTCCGCTAAACTTACCGAATGCGAAGAAACCGGTTGGAAAGCGGTGCCCGCTTGTGACTGATGGGTGTAAACGTGAAGAGGCTCCGGTTGTCTTAAAAGACTTTGATCCAAATATGAGGCGACATTTAGTTGAGAAGGGACAACAGGGAGAGAAACAACTGGATTGTATTGGTCATAGGCATGAAGACCAGCTGCTGTGGCTGCTGTTCGATAAGCGTCAAATCTAGAAATTCATGGGTGTTAAGAGCAATGATTTTGATGGATTACCTCAGATCAACACTGTTGTCATAGGCCTGTAGTTGGGTGAACTCAGTCGGTTGCGTCTCGTAGTAATAACCGGCTAAACTTTGGCTTAGTTTTTTGGATCAATAATCGAGTAGATCAGTAGAACAGTAGATCAGTAGATAATCAGTAGATCAGTAGATAAGTAGATCAATAGGAATTTAATAGCAACTTACTATTAGTACAGACTTAATGAAACACGAAAAAGTCATCAACTTACGTAATTTCTCCGGTGTCACCCATTGCGGTTCCACATAAGAAGGCGCTGAGTCGGAGAGGATGGCAAAAGTTGAGCTAAAAACAATTATAAATAAGCTTTCAAGTATATAAAAAGTAAAATGATCTAGATTTGATATTGCTTTTTAAAATTCAACTCAAAAATATGAACCTAAAAAGCTCGGATGTGCCTGAGACGGAGGAGGACGAGGTCGGATACTCGAACGTCGCTGGGTTCATTACCGCCTCCTAAAATGCAATTGATAATTCAAATATTGAAGTAAGCATATTGCTATATTCAAGCTTTTCTAAAAAGTAGCTTTTTTTGGAAAAGAAATTCCCTGAAATAGTTCACTCTGCTTTCATGAATTCTTGGATAACAAAAAGCCTACTAAAAAATAAAAAACTACTAAAAAAAGAGCAAGATATCAATATAGAAAATAAGTAGGATCAAAAGCAAAAAGGGAAAAATAGACGAGAAGGGACTCTAAGTGCTTCTTCTTTTTACTCCTTCAGCTATAAAAGAGATTTGTGTGGAGGCACCCCGCCAATTTGCATAATCAAGCCGCCGCACACCTAATTCCCCCAATTTGGGTGGTCGTCGCCAGAAAAGACTCCCCCCAACCAGGTCAATGTTTACATTTTTTTTTTAAAGCTCAATAACAGGTGATATAAAATCTATAGTGTGTTTCCCAAGAGGGCGAAAAAGATAAGTGTATTGGATGTTTCGCGTAGAAGAGTCAGAAGGAAAGAAAAGAATGGAGAGGCGACGGGTAATCAAATGATTCGCCGCTTCTCTGCCCCATCTCCCCATTCCAGTGCACATCCACCGACATCTCCTTCATTGAGAAACCCTTTTTTTTGACTTTATCTTGAATAACACAAATAACAGCTTGATTATAGCAGCTTGATTAACTAGTAAAATGCTGAGCATTGAATGCCAATAGAGGCTAGTGACATCTGGTCTACTTTTTCATCAGTTTACTGTTATTTGTTTAGCTTCAGATCAAGTTTTAAACTTAAATCCACTTTGATAAAAGAAAATTAAATAGAATCAAACAAAATTGATGTTTATAGAGTTAAGAACGAAAAGTTTTTGAGGTTTGCAGCAAACTGGTGACAAAGTAGGCCAGATGTCAATATCCTATTGGCATTTTAGGGTTCACTTTAGGTCACAAACCGGGAATTTACCTGGAATGGTAAGTAACTGAACATTTCGTGAACATAAACTAATAAACAAAAGGAAAAGAGCTTAAAAAGTGTTACAAAAAGTCAAATCCGATTCAGAGCACAGATTTGTTAACAATTGAATTGATAACAATTGAAATTGTGATAACAATTGTGATCGAAAAGTGATTGTGATCGATTTCCCAACAAAAACAATCGCCCCATTGATAGCTTGAAATATTTTTCCCATTTATCACGCTCATTTTTAATCCCCAACTCATCGAGAAAGAGTTTGTCTTGGTCAGACCAATCAATTTGTCTCAGTCTACCCATTTTCCAATTGGATAGAGCGGTGGAGTAGCCCTGAAATGTCGACGGCAATCACCGCAACTCTCTATCAATTTTTGACCACCACAAAAAAAAGAAGGAGAGGCTCCAGCTACACAGAGAGTTTTACACATAAACTCCTTTTTGACTTTTTCGATCACCCTATTTGGGTAAAAATTTCTTTGTCCCCTCTCTTTTCTATGCCTTTTCTTTTCGGGAGTCACGCGCTACCGTTTCCGTCCCTCTTTACCCTTTCCCAGTACTTAATATTTCAAAAATCTTTTTCATTTTTGTTGAAAATTCTCTCAAACAATGGGACAATGAAGCGCTATCATAAAAGCGAGATCGTCTAGTCGAAAAAACATTGACAAAACCACAGAAAATGAATGACTAGTGTGTGTGTGTGTGTTCATTACAGTATCCATTAATGGTTCGATTCGAAAACAAAAACAAGGAAGTCAAGGGTGGAGGGGGGATTTTGAGTAAAAACAAAGACAAAAATAATATAAATGCTCTCTATTTGAATAGAATACTGTCAGTTTTGAAGAATTGATATAATACAGATTAAGAAGGCACTGTTAACTGAATTCAAATAAAACTACGGCTTAGCTTCCAACCAGGCCTACCCCATTTGCCAAATATCATTTACTCATCAACTTTTTCAAACCTTTGATATCAAGAAAATCTTGTCGCCACAACTGAGCACATAGTCAGACATTGAATAATAAATGAAATGAATGAAATGGATGAAATGGTTGATTTGAAATGGTTGATTTGCAACGGTTGACGTACAACGGTTGATTAAGAGTTGAATCAATGTGTTATCGTGGGATAGGCCCGTGAAAGTAAAAGGTTGTGTAGGGGGGAAAAGATGAAAACCGGTTTGCCAAAATAGTCTCAGCCGTCTTCGAGAGGTCTTTTTTTTCACTCTAAAGGGTTCACGAGGAGCCTTGAAAGGAATGGGAAGGGGTAACCCACGGCCAAACGATCCCTGCATTCCATACAGGGAAGTCACCCCCCTTTTCACCCAATCCACATCAGTTTCCTTGCCTATTAGTCAAGCCCAATGACGTGACTTTAAAGTAGCTAAATTAGTTTGAAAGTCTCATGATTTAGCTAAATATTTAAGGATAAGAAGAGAGCTGGTCAGCCTGGAGTGAGATGGTTTAACGGCAACTCGATTCCTTCAACACTAAGGGATCATTTTATCATTTATCAAGCTCCTTATGTGATTTTAAATGGCAAATTAACTAAATTCTATGCTTGTTTAACAAGAAACGCATCTCACCCGGCTTCTACATGTAAACAACTTGTGAAATCGCTGAAAAATGGTTGAACAAAAGTTGATTTAACTTTTGTTCATTTAGAATTTAGTTAATTTGCCATTTAAAATCACATAAGGAGCTTGATAAATGATGAAATGATCCCTTAGTGTTGAAGGAATCGAGTTGCCGTTAAACCATCTCACTTCAGGCTGCCCATCTTTCCTTTTATCCTTAAATATTTAGCTAAATCATGAGACTTTCAAACTAATTTAGCTACTTTAAAGTCACGTCATTGATTTAATAACTTGGTATTTGAAATGAGATGAAATGAATGAAAACAAAGAAATAACAATAAGAAATCTGACGAGAAAACGCTTGAAAACAAATGACAATTGAGACCTTAATGAGTTGAAAAAATGTCAAGAATTCGGAAAGGTTTTAGAGGGATTTGCTTAAAATGCTTAAAATGCTTAAAAAATTTGTTTGCTAAACGTAATAGCAGAAAAACACCAAAGAGTCATTGAAGGTAGACTCATAAATTTGCCGCCCATCAAAACCAAGCGCCTAATTGTGCAACCAGGGAGGGGTTAAGAAGGACAACTCTTTAACAAGTCAAGTAGTAAATTGACTGGAAAAGAAAGGCAGAAAGGCGGGAAAGAGACTGTAGCCGCCTCCTCGTGAATGCCCTCAGGGCAAATAGGTGTTGCGTGAGGGTTTCGAGGTGAATGAACCTTTGAGAGAGGGGCAAGGGGATGCGCTGAACCGGAATTGAGACAAGTCTAGACTGTCGAACTCTTGCCACCGCTCCTCGTGCGTGTTCGTTCTCACGGTGACCACTAGATTGGGAGGATTGAGTTAGTTAAGGAAAATCACGGGAAACATCAACATTTATGTACAGACACTTAGCTCAAGCAAGCATCAGGCAGCATAAGACACCTAAATTAGAAGCCAAATTTTGATCCAAAATGACGATTCATTTGAATCTAAATCTGCAAACTTTCTTCAAAAACGTTTAAGTTAAAAAAAAAAGTTCTAGAGGTCAACAGATGGTGTAACGGAAGGTTAAACTTGTTGCCTTTTCGTAAGTTACAACGCAAAACTCGATATTGGTAGAAAGGTCAAGGAAACATGAGTAGGATCTCTTATGGCACGTAGCTAGTGTACTTGCTGTTCTTTGTACTGGAATGTAGTGTAGTGGAATGTTTCAAAAACTGGTATGATCAAAAAAATAGTTGAAAAATCAGCCTATAATTATAGACAAATCAGCAAAATAAACGCAAAAATTGGGGTAATACAGGCAGAAAGGGGGACGCGCCAAAATCAGTGCCCCACCCGTTTGTGTGGGACGGGGTGGACGTTGATTAATTGGTTGGCTGAAGGGGGGAAAAGGGTTGAATGAAGAGAAAGAAAGAGACGGGGACGAGCACGAGACTGATAAGATCAGTCTTACGAGGACAACCTTCTTCTACACAAACCCAGTCTCAACCATTCCCCTCTTCGGTACGGCCTTCTTCAGGCAATCGGATGAGTAGTAATTAGCACGGTTAACAATGTAACTCTGACTAAAGAATGTGTAAAATTTTAAAGAAATTCTAAAGAAAATATCATACAAAATCTTTCCTTAACTTTTATACTGTCGTTTAGAGAGGTTCTAGGTAAAGAACAGCACTTGTAGAATGAAGAAAATAGAGAAAAATGAACAAAGGCAGTCAGCTGACAGGAAAAACGATAGTTTGTGCTTTTCCTTGTTGTTCTCTGACCACTATCCAGACAATAAATAAGTATAAAATGTATAAAACTTGTCTTAAGCATAACAAAATTCTTGTCTTTATGAAATCTGCTTCATTCGAAGTCACTATTAGTGGCTCATTGTCTAGGAAGTGAAAAGATGAAAAGAAAGAGAAAAGCAACAAAAAAAAGAGATCAACAAAAACCGTGTTTACTCTAAAGGCACAAATGAGCTAATTAGGTGGATTTGACAAGGTTTTTCTGGTTTTTCAGGTTTTTCATTGGGTTTTTTTATTAGTAGACTAAGAAAAGATGACTAGTATCATCATTAGATTAAGCTGGGATAGAGAATTTATATCTGTAAAAGCTGTGAATAGTTTCATTTATTTCATAGAAAGATTAGAGATTAATCTAAGTTCATTCGGTTATTGATTTCACAAAAATTGAGCTCAATTTGAGTACAAATTTGTGGGTGGAATTAAAAAATCATGGAACTTAACTAAAGAGGAATGGTTTGAAGTCCATATGTGGTGTGTGTCGGCTAGTTACTGATGCAAACACCATCTCATTTCCCGGTTGCATGTATCGAGGACCAAGAGTGGGAAGAGTGGGAAGAGTGGAGGGATTGCGTGTAGTAAAGGTTAACGGGGAAGAAGAGTTCTTCGAAAGGCACACCTTAACTAACCCTTTTGGCTAGTTGTAAAATAGTTTAACCCTGAAGAAGGTGAAGAAAGTGAAGATAAAGAAGATAAAGAAAAATCATAGGAATTGAATTGTAGTTGAAGATAAAGACTTGAAGATAAAGACTTGAATATAAAGACTTGGAACAAAGACAAAGACTTCAATGTAAAGTACTGCCGAAAGATTACGTAGTTCTCTCAAAAACAACACCGATTGTTATTGTGAAAGGGCCGACTCTCGTGTGCTGTTTGTGTCTTTTTCTTTTGTCATTCAATATCGTCTATATTCGATTGATAGCGGGATTCCTCGTTGTGCGTCTTTAGTGACACCCCCAACACCCCCAATTGGGGCAGCAGGGCAACGCAACCATTCACCCAGTCGATACCTGAGGTGGAGAGGGGGAAAGGGATTGTCTGTGTTGTCTGTGAATGGTCAACAACCAACAACCGCGTTTACGTTCAGACAGTACTGTTATCCCAAATGCTAATCAAATGAAATCAAAAATTCTTTGTGAAATTCTTAAAAGACTCACATAATCCTGCATGACGAGCTTCACTTTCGCCAGGTAATTTGATGATTGATGAGGCAGAAATTAGTTCTGAAATTGAATTGAATTGAATAAAATGAAGATTTTGAAAGTACAACACAGAAAATCTTTGGAGATTTGATCAGCTGTGGGTCAAGAAAGAGAAAAGTGATCGAAGAGATCAAAAGAAATGAGGGAAAATTGAAAGGAAAAGAGATTTCCTCCTTTTTTTTCACCTAAAGGGATTTCCATCTAATCGTGGGAAAATTTTTGGGGGAATCCCTTTTGAGAATTAAGATTTGAAGATCGAGAAAGTGTTGAAGAAATAAATGGTATCATTGTAGTAACAGCAAGTTGATGATTAGGCAATTTGATGAAAGCATTTAACTTGATTTAATCAGCTTAAACAGAGAATCGAATCGGGAAAGAGCCGGTAAGAGAGCTGTAGATCAAAGCTGTAGATCAAAGCTGTAGATCAATGATGAATAGTGTAATGCTTGTTTCTAAATCTCATATCCAAGCGACTATTGATTGTCTTTTGTGGTTGAAAAATCGTATTTTCAAGGAATGATTTTTGTCAACAACTTTTTCGATCCAAATCAGCCCAAACCCAATAACAGTTCAATGACCTCTACTCACCGAAAGAATACAGTCGAAAAGAATAAACCCAATTGGGTAATCGAGCCGGAACGTGTCGCTGTCGGCTATACAAAATGTGCGGCAATCAATTTGAGACAATGAAAAGAAAAAGCAAAAAGGAAAGTTTATATGAACAAAACATCCAATGGGATACAAGGACAAGAAAATATCAGAAAGGGGAAGAGTTTTACGGGAAAAAGGGGGAAACCTGTTAGGATGGGTAGAAAGGAATGTAAGAAAGGAGCAAATTTTGTGTGCGTCTACAGATTGATGGTCTGATTGCCCTACTCAAAGTAATAAATCTACACTATATAGATGAGAAGTTGTTCTGAGTTGTCAAATGAAAGTCCAGATAGTGTAGATAAGGTAAAGAGGCCAGAGCCACTTTAGGAATTGATTAAGATTGGTTTAAAACTTCAAATTTATCAATCAAACTAAAGCAAATGCGAAACTTCAGCTTCAGCTTCAGTTTCAGTTTTAACTTCAGCTTCAGCTTCAGCTAGCTTTGCTTCTGCTTCTGCTTCTGCTTGAGCTTCTGCTTGAGCTTCTGCTTCAGCTTCAGCTTCTGCTTCAGCTTCTCCTTCAGCTGCTGCTTCAGCTTCTCCTTCAGCTGCTGCTTCAGCTTCTGCTTCAGCTAGCTGGTGAAAGTCTTGGCTACTACCAGATACCAGTGAATCAGTCAATATCCTTCAAACCCAAACCATATGACGCCCAATTCGCCAATGGTCAAAAAATAGGTGAATCATCCAAGACAAAGCATTTTTTGGGGGGACTGAGTCTCGCACAGAGTACTGTAGTTTTAGCACAAAGCCGCGCGGGCAAAACGAAGCAAAACGAAGGAAAAAGAAAGGCGGGCTGACCACTGTCCTCCACCTCCTCTCGAGAGTTTTTGCTTTTCACATTTTTCCTCGACCATTGTTATCGCCTTTCTCTCGTTCTCAGTGGCACGTCCTCTGCCTTTACTTCTCAGGTCGAAAGAGTACCGGTTTTGTGAGAGTGAACTTTTTATTTCAATAGCTTTTCATTGATTCTGTAGTTCTATGGGATTTAGAGTCACCTTACGAGGAAACAATCTGAGCTCGAAGCTCAGAATCGTTCAGAATAGATTATGGTCCTAGCTATTCCTAAAGCTGTCTCATGTCTGCCTATCTAAACCAGAGCTGTGCAATTATCAGGCCAAGTCTAGCTAATGATTCAAACTAAAGTGGACTTATGGCTTGCATTGGCTTGACCGCTCATGGTTGTTGCAATCAGGGTTGCTTCTGCAACAACCCTGATTTACCTGGTCCAAATCCTACTTCATGATCCCCTCAACCCAATGTTCTATAGTATGATTCCCCAGATTCTCTCTTTTATTTACCCTTCTTCTATATACCGTCTATTTCCAGCCGTCTCGAAATCTTTTCTTTATTCTATGTGTCTCCTTTCTTCTCCCCTCATTCTATATGTTTGTTCACGGCTGCCACCAACCCTTCTTCCCCTCCGCGTGCCCCCTCGAGAGGCAGTGAAAGTTTTTTTTTGTGTTTAGAGGGTTTTCTCGTCTCCAGCCTGCTGTACCTGAACCCTGAAGTGACAATAGATAGACAATAGACATTTCAATAGGGTCATTGATGGTCAAACAACACAGAAAAACTGGTTGCTTACTTGCTAGTGCAAAAGCTAGTTCTGCAAGCTCAATCTATTCAAATACTCGAAACAATCAATCAATTGCGACAAGAAACCAGGAAATAAAAACCATAATAATCACGAGTTGGGAATTGTTTACTGGTACGTTTTTGGAAATATCGAGATTGCAGTGAAAATGCTAAACGGAAAAAGGGCTGACAGATGTCAGAGGAAAGATAAAAGTCTAAAGTTAATAGTTAAGATAATCTCTAAAATACACTGAACACAGTATTGCTAATTCTTGCGAACAAGTCAAAGTTTCAGAAACCAAATTTATAGCTCTGACTCACGCCAGTAACAACTTTGCAACAATCGGTCACAAAGTGAGTGGCAGTGACTCAATTTGGCAAGTTTACCAAACAGAATGACAAGAAAAAAGCTTAATAGACTTGGAATATGAAGAGAAAATGAAACAATCGACATTGTTGAACTAGAAAGCTTTGGTGAATACGATGACCCAGAACTGACTATTGTTCTCTTTTCTCTCTTGTCTCAGGAGCACTCCTTGATTTGAGCCGATCCATACTATAGATCGGAAGGGGTGAAGAGGAGACCGACCGGCCTGATAAGCGTTTTGTGGTCTCGGCTGGAGAAGGGGGGAAGGGGGTGATCGTCGTGTATCCAAGGACACCCGCAGGGGAGAACTGACTGCCCCCACACAAAGTCGTTCACCCATTCACCCACTACTGGGTTCAACAGTATACTTTCGTGAAAAACCTTGGCTGTTTAGCGACCTTGGTTGTTTTAAGAAGCAGAAGTTGAATGGAACTTTAAAAAAGTTTCAGATCAAGCTACCAGCTCTGGAGATTGGGGATCAGGAAATCGCAAAAGAAAATAACCCGATTGATATCTGTAGAATTAGAATACCAGTGCTAGAAAAACAGTCTAACACCTGTGACCAATAGGATCAAAAAGCTCGAAACTTGTAGTCCAAGAAAATTTGTATCGCTTTTCAAAGAGTCTCAAAGGTTACTCTCCGATTCAAGGTCAATCCACCTTTCACTAACCGAGTTAAAGAAAAGAATGGCTATACTGTAAATTTTGGATTGACAAGGGGTTTGGGGTGAATGGGTTGATTGTGTGGGAAATGTCTAGAGAAACAATCAATCAAAGGCATATAATGTGTACTCAATATCGACTCGTGCACAAAGATAGCTACTACTTTATTTTAGGATCCTTTGATAGGCTTTGACTTTAGTCAGATAAAAGATAAAGTCAGATATCGTCAGACATCGTCAGATATCGTCAGACATCGTCAGATATCGTCAGACATCGTCAGATATCGTCAGACATCATCAGATATCATCAGATATCGTCAGATATCGTCAGACATCGTCAGACATCGTCAGACATCGTCAGACAAAGTCCGATAACTCAAAACATTTGATAACGAAAAAGAATAAGCTTATTAAAAACTTTAGCGAAATTACTTTAGTCATTTACTAGTATCTAGCTAGTCTTTAAGAAGTTCAGTGGAATCAAGACTGAGAAAGATTGCCGTTTCGGACTAGCAAGGACAATTGAAAAGCAAAAAAATGAAAAGAAATGAAAAGAAATGGAAAGAAATAGAAAGGTACTGTAAAAATGATTGGAAAAGACAAAAAAAACAAGCAAATTTGATAAGCAAAGACTAATAATCTAGCTAATAAACAAAGCTTTTCGAATAATAAGCAGATAACTTTTCAAGTTCACTAATATTTTGAAATCCAGTTTATCAAAATATGGATGGTTTTGAAATAATCACCCTGCATTCGAATCGATAGAGTTGATCGGGTGAACTTTGTTAAGCTCTATCAAACACACTCAGTCAGCCGCAGACCGTGTCAGCTCCCCCCTTTTGACTCTACAATAGGCTGTAGAAAAAGAAAGGTTTGGAGTTGAGTGAGGTGTTGATTCGGGTTATGCAAAAGAGTTTGAAAAGGGGGAGTGAAAGAGTTGTGGAGGTCGGCAATCACAGATCCTTTACTCTTACATTATAACTTATCGCTTCGTACTTACACAATTACAGTGATTTAATAATTGCTCAGATCAAAGAAAGAGCGCAGAAACTATGATAAGAGAAAATGAAATAAAAACAATCAAAATAGCAATAGAAATATTGAATTGTTGAAAAGAATAAGTAGAAGGAGCAATCAATATCAATCAATAGTAACAGAAGAACCAAACAATATCAATCAATAGTAACAGAAGAACCAAACAATATCAATCAATAGTAACAGAAGAACCAAACAATATCAATCAATAGTAACAGAAGAACCAAACAATAACCAATCAATAACCAATCAATCAATCAATCAATCAACTTCTTCTATAACTATTTGAACGACTCGATCTCGTCAAAACACCGATTCAAATTTCAACTGCACAATCGAGCTGCTGCCGATCGAAGAGGTCAAGTTGAGAAAGAGGGGAATCTTTTTAAAGAAAAGGAACCAACCAACCAATGACTTTGTGTGGTAGAACTGGAATTTTTAAGGAAAAGATTAAAGAATTGAGGAGAAATGAGAGAACGAGGCGGAGACGAGAAGCCTGTAGAGGTCAAGTTCAAAGACTGCCATCGGCAAACTGGAAAGAGAGGACGAGGTTGAGGTGACGAAGGGGAGAAAGTATTTCTGAGGTCATGAAGAAGTTTGAAAGTTGTAGGTCTCAAGGGGTCAATGAGAAATTTTTGCACGAAATAATTGAGCCTAAGTCAAGCTCTTACAGAGTCAAAG